GACGAAAATATGCACAAAAATAGAGAAAAAATTTTGTGGCCGACGACTAGCAAAATGTTTATTTGGATACTGTTCTAGTAGTCGGCCACCAACTTAAAAAGCAAATAACTTTTTTGGTATGTACTTTGACCCCGGCCGACTACTAGTACAATATATCATTTGATATTAATCTAAATGTAGTCATGCAAGAAAAATATATACCGACTTCAATAAATGCAAAAAAGACAAAAACATAAAAAGGTTCATGCGCTAGTAGTCGTCCACCATGGCCGACAACTAGCACTATAGGTTAGACTTTATTCCAGTAACCGGCCACCTTATTTTAACTTAAAAAAAACTAATATCTACTTTTTACATAAAAAATAAGTTATTTTAAAGTCTACACTTACCTTTAAAGTCATAAAACAGCTTCAAGACACTTACAATTTGATTAAATTCACTTGTCTCACATATACACCTGCATCTTTAACTACTTTCAATAACTGCTACAGGAGCCCAAGTTGTAAACAGGTACTTTTTAGGCGGGAATTGTTAATACTTAAACTTGACGCAAGAGTGAGTGCTTTGATTTTTAGGTCAGAGAAAGATGGAAGTTTACTGGTAAAAAAGAAACCTGTTTTAAATTGGCGGAAAACTCAAATTATAATTAAAAAAAGACTAAAGCGGCCGACTACTAATGGGGGCCGGCTTACTAGCGAAACCACCCTAGTATTTTCTTCCTACGCAGGAAAATTACAGGTAAATATTAATTTGAGCTCTTTTCTATTACGGAAAAACTAAGTATACATACTTGTAGGTATCGCTATTGTAAACAAAAAACCTTAGTTTTATATCTTGTACAAATTAATAATAACACATAATTTTTTTAAATAAAAATATGTCATATTTACAATAATTATATTATCAATTTTACAGGGAAGGGAGCGAATAGGGGTGCTGGGTGGGTAAAACAACTTCAATAGTTATAATATTATAAAATATTGTTAGGACAAGGAAAATTATTAGAAATTAATTACTGTACATACATTTGATAATAAATAATTGGTTAGTAAACTTTTGGTGCGACTTGACAATGGTGTAAGACGTAAAAGTAGCATTTTTGATCTTTGAGTGGAGACAATTTATAAAATATTATTTATAAAAATTAATTGTGTCATTATTATTGATTTGCACAAGATTTTTCGTTTACAATAGTGATATCTACAAATACGCATGCGCTTTTCATAAGCGATAATATATTTATGGCGTCTTTCACTGGAATATTCAGTGCTTTCTGAGTCTATTTTGACTTTGTTTCGTTTCATATTGATAAACAAGGACACAAATATATTCAGTGCGTATTGCCAATGCCAATAGAGAACGCCATTAGATTTCTTTCGAAAGGTTCGTATGCCCTACCCTCCTACGTGACGTCACGCCTTGTTTATGTGTGATGCATAAAATAGCTTGATTTTAAGCGGTCACAAAAAGGAGGAGGTTCTCAATTCGTCGTAATATTTTTTTATGTATGTTCAGCGATAATTCTTTAACACGGTGTCCGATTTCAATGATTCTTTTTTGTTAGAAAGGGGATACTTCAGGTGTGGTCCCATATAAATTTGGTCAAAATCTAATTATTGAGTCCATGAGAAAATCCTCACTCTTCATTTTTTATGTATGTTTATCGATAATTCTTTACTACCTTGTACGATTTTTATGATTTTTTTTTGTCAGTAAAGGGTTACTTCAAGGGTGGTCCCATATAAATTTGGTCAAGATGTGGTGATGGCATCTGCGTGATTTTTAAGTCGTTTTTTTAAAATGTTAAGAGAAGTTCTATTGCATCTATGTTGTAGATAGTTAAAAGTTTGTAGTTGTATTTGTGATAGGATTTTATGTAAATACCTAGCGTATCATTTTAGTTGAAATTACTTTTATTGTATAAAAAAAATCATAACCTGCTACATTATAGATTTCTGTTTGAAGTAGATTCCAGGTCTCTCTTACTATATACCGTGAGCACCATAAGTCTTACCCCCCCTATCTAACTCGTTACTGGAGTCTTGTTAGGAAAATCGCCGAGACACGTCGATTTTTGATTTCTACAGTGTACATTTTTGTATGAATAGTTTACCCTTGCTTTGGGTTTTATTTTCTATTCAACCATGTAAAAAATTTTGAAATTTGCTTCATTAATTCTCGACTAATTGTTGTTTCAGAATAACGGAAATTAACGTAGCGCACTCATCCTTAGAATTAAAATTCGGCCCTGCATGATTTCGGTTTTGGTTCAGCCGTGAAGTAAGACTTTTTGCCATTAAAAGTTCACTATTAGTTTAGTTGCTTTCCTATTTTGTGAGGTTTTGTTATTTTTAAACATTAATAAATCAACACGTAATGAAGCAAATTTCAAAATTTTTTACATGGTTGAATAGAGAATAAAACCCTCTTTCAAATGAGCTATCACTCACCACCCCATGCCATTTAAATTTTTTGAAAGGGTTTTTCCCCTCCAGTAAGGGATGAAATTAAGGGTAAACTAATCATACAAAAATGTACATTGTAGAAAACAAAAATCGATCTGTCTCGGCGATTTTCCTAACAAGACTCCAGTAACGAGTTAGTTAGGGGGGGGGGTAAGACTTATGATGCTCACTGTATAATATAGTCTATATTCGTATCTAGGTCTTCTAGGAATGTTTAAATTCATCTATATTTGTTAAGACTTCTAACGTTTGAATGGCATATTTTAAAGTTGTTGACATGGTTAATTACCTCATTTTTTTTTAATTTCTTTGCATTTTTTAGTGTACCTAAACGTTTCAATTGTATCTTCTGTATTAAAATACACGAACATATTGTTCCATATTTGAGTAAAAAAGTTAAAATGTTTAGCATACAATTAATATTACTGGTAAATGTATTTTTAGTCTTATTCCACAATATTAAAAAGAAATTAATTAATAATAAAAGAAATCTCACTACGTGATCTTTGCACTATATTATAAATTGTTAATTGAATGTATTTATGTTATATACTTTTTATTTAAATTTAAATAACTTATTTTTTGTTTAAATTAAATAGGTACTATACAATCAAAACGAAGAAGTAACAAAAAAGCGTTTTTCCCTGGTCTCTACAATGCCCTGTCATATGTGGACTGGTCATTTTTAGATATTATTGAGGATGTAAATGAAATGTGTGAGGTTCTCTATCAAAAAAATTTACTACATTTTAGACGTGTATGTTCCAAAACATAAAAACATTATCGCAAATATCCCTCCTGGTACACTCCAAACATAATTCAGAATAGTAGGATTAAAGAATTTTTAAAAACTAAATCTCACTACTATTATGACGAATTTTTCAGACTGAGGAGATTAATTAAAGCTGAAGTGCAAGAAACTTATAAAAACTATCTGAACTCTGTTGAAAATAGTATCATTACAAATCCAGAAAATTTCTGGTCTTACATTCAACAAAAAAAAAGGTAACACGAAAATTCCTGGAAAGGTATTTTGCAATGAAAAGTTCTATTGTTGAATGTTTCGCAAACTACTTTAAAATTGTCTATATTCCAACACAATTTATCGCTAACAATTCCGAAGTAAATAATATTCCATGCTGTAACATTTCATACATTTCTGAAGACAACATTTAAACTTCCAAATAAATTCACAACTGGAAGTGACAAAATTCCTAGTTTTCTTTTAAAAAATTTTGCTAATGTGCTTGTAAGACCTTTATTTAAAATGTTTAATCTAATTGTCCAAAAGTCTGTATTTCCTGATGTGTGGAAAGTAGCTAGAGTATGTCCTGTGTTCAACAAGTATAAGAAATTAAAAATTAAAAAAAACCGACTTCAAAAACGTGCAGATGTCATCACCACATCTTAACCAAATTTATATGGGACCACCCCTGAGGTACCCCCTTACTAACAAAAAAAGAATCATATAAATCGGACAAGGTGGTGAAGAATTATCGCTAAACATACATAAAAAATGAAGAGTTTGAGGATTTTCTTATGGACCCAATTATTAGATTTTGACCAAATTTATATGGGACCACCCCTGAGGTAACCCCTTACTAACAAAAAAAGAATAATAGAAATTGGATAAGGTGGTAAAGAACTATCGCTAAAAATACATAAAAAATGAAGAGTTTGAGGATTTTCTAATGAACCCAATTATTAGATTTTGACCATACTTATATGGGACCACCCCTGAAGTACCCCCTTTCTAACAAAAAAAGAATCATTGAAATCGGACACCGTGTTAAAGAATTATTGGTGAACATACATTAAAAAAATATTACGACAAATTGAGACCCTCCTCCTTTTTTGAAATCGGTTAAAAGTATTAAAAGTAATTTTAAAAAACCGACTTCAAAATCGTGCAGATGCTATCACCATATCTTAACCAAATTTATATGGGACCTCTAAGGTACCCCCTTACTAACAAAAAAAGAATCATAGAAATCGGACAAGGTGGTAAAAGATGATCGCGTAAACATACATAAAAAATGAAGACTGAGGATTTTCTCATTAACTCAATTATTAGATTTTGACTAAATTTATATGGGACCACCTCTGAAGTACCCCCTTTCTAAGGAAAAAAGAATCATTGTTAAAGAATTATTGCTGAACATACATAGGTAGTCGGTTAAAAAGAGCTCAAATTAGATAATGATTTCATAAAAAATAAATATTTATGTAAATTTTCGTAGCTTTTGATTTATTTTATTAAAATTCGTTGTCTTTTTCCTCCTATTGTTTTTATTATGGTTGTAATTTGTTTAATGTTTTAAAATTTAAGTCGTCTTAGACAATAAAATAAATATTTCTTTTACTTTACAAAACATTAAATTGAATTATTTTTTTTGTATAATTATTATTATTATTTGTACATAATTAAAGTAATATTAAAGTTTTTTGAGTATTTAAAAGTAGAATTACTCAGTTTGGTGTCTAGCTAATGCGGTTAAATATAAGAAGAAAAAAAAGACACTTAAATTGACTAACCTCATTTCTTCCGCCGACGAAATTCCGATGGCAAAATACAGTGAAATCACAACGAAACCGACATTTGAAAACGGCGAGCTGGGTAGAGAGTTTCAAATTAAGGCTAAAATGTCGGTCATTACAAACTGTATGGTCATCACCCATTCACCGCACCTGTACAACTGATAGCAAAATTTTAATTTACATTGAAACAAAACTGAAAACATAAAGGCCGTGGTTCGGCGATCTCTCTTGCCGCGAGTCCAGCGCTTGTGAGTTTTGATGCCGTCGCGACGGCCGCCGATTTTGTTTTGTTTGCAAGACGGTTGTTGCTATGCCAACGGTGACGCCCACGCAGTCGCTGTTGATGATTGCGATCTCTGTGCCATCTGCGCTATAGTGTCAGTGGTGTCAACGTCTAAGGTCAGCGCTGCACATTTATGTGACTGCTCAAGCAACAATTAATGCTTTATTAAAGCTAAAACAATGTATACAGAATAAAATTTATAAAACAGGATGTTAACTAAGATCTTTTCAGGAATATTTTCACAGTAACAGGAGATAAACGCAAAGTGGGCGCAGTTTTACAGACAGATTTATACAAATTGTATGGATGGAACGATATTTTCAGAAAAGTGGCGTAGCTCAGTGCTACACTTTCGATGCAAAATAAAAGACCTATTATGAGTACAAAAAAGTATTTTCTCCCAAGATGTAACGATTTTTTCTCTAAACCTTTTTGAAAAGCGAAATATTTGACGGAGCCCTAAACACATTTCTAAAAAAAAGGTTCTCAAGGTCACTTCCTATTGTGGCGATATTACGGCTTCTTTTTTTATTATGAGTATTATTTTCTTCGCGCAGCCCCCACAAAGGCTTTGCGGAGCCCTAGGGCTCCGCGGAGCACACTATGAGCAACACTGCTCTTTCTAGACACAATCCAACAGGGCAGAATAACCAATTAATACCGACTTGAAAGGGACCGCGCACATGGGCGTACCAATTTTGTTATTAAAATTAAGTAAATTAAATTAATAATTATGTATAGTTCTTCCATTAAACTCGTTCCGAACTCTTACCGACAATTTTGTTTGATCTGTCACAGGCGTAGATACCTCATTTTAAAAATTTAATATTTTTATAAAGACGAGAAAGTATTCGTTAAAAGGCGATCGAATGATTTTAAATTGGACGGCTTTATTCCCGTTATTTAGATAGATGCGTGGTGTGAATATAGGATGGTGTGCTCGCGCGCAGGCAGCCTCCGAACTGTGACGTCAGCAACGAGTATTTCTGTCGAAAATGCATGCAGTGGTACAAGAAAATCGCAATTTATCCTTATTCTCGCTTCTGTTATCATTTTTTTAAAATTTTTTTTTTACAAAAAACGTTACTATTAGACGTGTTGCAGGTTTGATTGGATAGAGTTTTTAATTAAGTCAACTGTTTTTTACAAATTTAAATACAAAACTAGACAACATAAAGTAAATATTGTAAAATCGTTTAGATACCTACTAGGAAAATGTTATGGAGTGTAGAGGTAAGGAGAACTATCTCTGTATACAAAAAATGTACCTCAAAATGAATAAAATTAAGATGACGCTTTTGTACCAGAGGGAAAAATCCAATTATATAGTTTGACTTTTTTTGACAGTTTTCGCCTACAGTTTTCAAAGCTAACTTTTTTATTCAAATGTCTTAATCTGATATAGGTTCTAGTTCTTATTAAACACAATATAATTTTATTTGGAAATTGTTTTGTTGCTTCTACAGAACCGGCTCTAATTTTACCTAATAATTTTTTAAAAATATTTAATTCCGTCGAAAAGAAGTTATTATGAAATCGATTAAATTCGGTCTCAACTATACGGGCTAGTTCTAACATTTCTTCACATGGGTATATAAGGTTGCCTCCAGATATAAACTCGATCCAATAGGGGGTATGAGTTGTTTGACAAAATTTTGTCGGTGTACTCAATTTTAAATTTGAATATTCGTTTTTAAATCTATAAGCTACATATCCAACAATAAATTTTAGGCCTTCTTTAAAAATGGTGTCGAGCATTTGGTTTTTTCTAACTGCGTTAAAAGATTGTCATGATCTTCAGAAAAACATTGTCTGTTCCAAAATCTGGACTCTGGAAAGTATGGTCAGAAAACGTTTCTTCACTAAAAAGATTCGATGTTTCAACAAAATCGCCGTCAGAAAGAACTCGCAATGTCATCTTTTTTTTTTAAATGACTCGAGTAGGCACGTTTCGATACTATCCTCAGTATTTCTGATCATTGAAAATATGGCGAGTGAATGTTTTCCAAGAATGTACCACCGCAACTTATATTTAATATCCATGGGTGTTGGATGATCATTAGTTGCTCCGATACCGCGAATATATGAAAAAAAAAAAAATTTCAAGAACATCTACACATACATTTACTTAACTTGTAACAGAAACACATACCAATAAATGTCATAATGAGGAATATTTCAAATCAGTTCGCTACAATTGCCTCGTTGATGACGTAGGTGCGCGCCAGATGTGAATTTCAACCCGCTGGCAAGCACACCATCCTATACTCACACCACGGATTAGAGGTGTGTCGTTCGCGAACGATTCGTTCAAAAAGAACGAATCAGTGCACTGACTCGAATGAATTGATTCCCTGTTTTTAAAAGATTCGAATCTTTTTTGAGTCAATTGCTCGATGGCTCTGCGATCGATCAAACATGCCGAGTTCCGAGTTTGGTTGCTTCGTTCATTCGATTCGGATTCGAAGATTTGGTATTTTACATCGGCATCTGCAAATTGGTCGCTTTTATTCTACGTTCTACGGCATAATACGAGAACTCTGACAGGCGGTGGCGGTATGTGTCTTTAATGTTTTTCTCACTTTACAGGAGGTGTGTATTAAGCGTAGGTAAACAATTTATGCGTGTTGTCTGATAAATAAATTTAAATCAAAGTAAAATTAAAACAAAAAATGACGAATCGTGAATATATAATTTTGCGTTAATTTTGGCTATATATTTGGCATTAAAAAAAAATTGTGTTATTGTTGTTTATCTTAACGCACAAGGATGTATTTATTATTCAGCTGCCTTTTTTTATGAAATATGAAACATTAATTCGCTTTACTTTAAAATAAATCTGGTTATAATTATTTTTCTCGACGACCTAGTAGGTAGTAGGTACTACGGATAGATGCACTTAATTGTAATCCTACTTGAAACTTAAAAAAATTATTATTATAGCTCGTTAATTTGCTACAACTGAATATTAAATTATAAAACGTAAATAGACGAGTAAAATGTACCTGCCTGTAAGGGCGTTTGGTTGAAACAGGGTACCAGACGTGAAATGATCCCTTTTTATACCCCATTCGTTTTTTTTTTTCGGAAAACAAAATTTCAAAGCAAAAACCATAAAGGAAAATAAATTCTTTGCAAATAAAACAAAACTATAAAATAATTTAGAAAAATGAATTTTTTAAAAGAAATAAATGAATACGAACTAATAAAATGTTAACAATGAATTAATTTGATTACTGATTACCAATAATGAAAAATAAGAAAGTTAATTCGAATCTAAATCTGAAGCATCTGTCGAGGAATCTAGGTTTGGACATGTAACTACTGGAGCTATTATAGAAGGTAAAATATGATATTCTTTTTCCGTTTTAGGACGTGACTAATGCAAATTTTCCAAACGTCAGTCAAAGACGGATCATTAAAAACGCCATTAATATTTTCCAAATCACATTTGTTAAGGTAGGTGCAAAATTACTACGTCTCAGTTTTTGTTTAACTAAAGACCAAACGAATTCAATTGGATTAAGTCACATACTTTGATTACTATACGAGGCAAGAGAGAGGTCCGACACGCCCAACATAGGGCGCGGCCATTTTGAACCCTGTGACACAGTTTACAGCTAAAGAGTCAGATCGCTCACTCTGCGTCGGCACTTTTGATCTCAATGTTTCAGTTTATACACTGTGCAACTCGGATAATACAATATATGACAACCGCCTATAATAAAACAGCCGTCTTCTGCGTATCCTGAATTTGTATCCCTAGAGTGGATGTTATTTTGGAACTTTCAACTGGTCCGAGTGAGCTAACTGATTCTTTAGCAATAAACTGTGACTTCAAAAATAATCACTGACACTGACAGCAGCAAGTAAAATATCAGGTGCGTTTTAATCATCCACTTCTGCTTCCGGAATTGTCGGTTTAGTCGTTTTAACCTGTCAGATTAAAACAAGGAAACCAACAATTCCGAAGCAGAAGCGGATGATTAAAACGCACCTATTAAAAATATTGCGCCAAGATGTAGGCAACACGTAATAACGGTTCAAAATGGCGGAGTTTTCTGTCTCCTTTTAAAAGGCACTCGGAAAGCTGCGCAGTGCGACCATTCTCCGTATAGTAATTATCATAATTGTCCGCCCATAATGTATTTTGTAATATAAATCTATATAGGTACCTACCTAGTATTTTTATTTTTTCAGTCATAGTTTCCCTGTAACTTCTGAACTATGTTTTATTATATTTTTAGTTGTAAACAAGAATCTAATGAGTACCTACATTGTACAGATTTAAATATACAAAGGGTCCTGTAAATATACTGACAAACTTTTTGGGGTGGTAGAGAGGACATCAAAATAATTTTTTTACTTAATAAACATAATGTGTTTCAAAAACGAAGCATTTTTGGATATACTATTGTGTTCATTAAGCAAAAAAAAATTATTTTGTTGTCACCTACCACCTTTAATAGTTCAAGATTTCCTATATAATTCCAGAAAAATGTTTTTGGAATAAATTCCGAATTCTTTTTATTGTTGTAATCTATATTGTTTCGACGGTCTCTCAACCCAAGCTGATTCTAGGAAAGGTATCCTCCAGAGGATGTAAATATCATAAAAGATGGGAGATCGAACAAAAAGAGTACCTACTTTTGGATGGTTAGATTATCGAACACCGTTGAGGAATGCAGTCAATTTCTTTTGTTAAGACTGTGTTATTGCATTTGTTCTAATAATTATTATTTTTTGTAACATTATTTTAATATTAATAAACTTCATACGTAAAATTATATTTAATTATTTGTGAAGTTTACAATTGATATTTGTTATTTTTTAGGTTCGATGACTTAATGATCATCCACACCAAGGAATATCCTTGAAACTTAAAAAAAAGGTATGAGCGTGTTAGCCCAGGGATTATGGTCAAATTTTTGGAAAAATTACAAGCGATCAAACTTCGTGTACTTTATTGATCGATTGATGATACATCACATTATGGTGCGAAGACGTGGCTTATACGAATTTGATTGAAGTATCAGTTGATCGAAAACAGTGGGAGAAAATAAATTTAAATCTGCATAGCCATCATGGATAGCCATATTCCGTACCACAATACGTTATGCGTGAACTCGTCAGCTAAATATCATAGTTCTGTAATTTTTTGTATCATTAGC